ACAGATGAAAATGAAGGAAAAGGACCTCAGTTGAGAAAAAGGATACATTAGTAATTTATTACCAGTGAGTTTACAGAGGAACAGGTTCTATTTCAACTGTCAAAAGTAAAGACAAATAAGTCAATGGGACCTGATGGAATACACCCAAAGCTATTAAAAGAGCTTAGTGGTGTACTAGCAAAACCATTAACAGATGTATTTAACCAATCATTGTTAACAGGAGTAGTCCCAGAAGATTGGAAGTTAGCTAATGTTGTGCCCATTTACAAGAAAGGTAATAGGGAGGAGTCGGGCAACTATAGGCCAGTAAGCCTTACTTCAGTAGTGGGGAAAGTGATGGAAACCATGTTAAAGGATAGGATTGATGAACATCTAAAACACATGGATTTCAAGATCAGAGACAACATGGGTTTACTTCAGGGAGATCATGCCAAACTAATCTTATTGATTTTTTTGATTGGGTAACTAAAATTATAGATCAGGGTGGTGCAGTAGACATTGCTTACCTAGATTTCAGTAAGGCTTTTGACACTGTTGCACATAGAATGCTTATCAATAAACTGCAATCTTTAAGTTTGGATTCCAATATTGTTGAATGGGTAAGGCAGTGGCTGAGTGACAGGCAACAGAGGGTTGTAGTTAATGGAATATATTCAAAGCTTGGACTTGTCACCAGTGGGGTACCTCAGGGATCTGTACTTGGACCCATTCTCTTTAATATTTTTATTAGTGATATTGCAGAAGGTCTTGATGGTAAGGTATGTCTTTTTGCTGATGATACTAAGATATGTAACAGGGTTGATGTTCCAGGAGGGATAAGCCAAATGGCAAATGATTTAGGTAAACTAGAAAAATGGTCAGAATTGTGGCAACTGACATTTAATGTGGATAAGTGCAAGATAATGCATCTTGGACGTAAAAACCCAAGGGCAGAGTACAGAATATTTGATAGAGTCCTAACCTCAACATATGAGGAAAGGGATTTAGGGGTGATTATTTCTGATGACTTAAAGGTAGGCAGACAATGTAATAGAGCAGCAGGAAATGCTAGCAGAATGCTTGGTTGTATAGGGAGAGGTATTAGCAGTAGAAAGAGGGAAGTGCTCATGCCATTGTACAGAACACTGGTGAGACCTCACTTGGAGTATTGTACACAGTACTGGAGACCGTATCTTCAGAAGGATATTGATACCTTAGAGAGGGTTCAGAGAAGGGCTACTAAACTGGTTCATGGATTGCGGGATAAAACTTACCAGGAAAGGTTAAAGGATCTTAACATGTATAGCTTGGAGGAAAGACGAGACAGGGGGGATATGATAGAAACATTTAAATATATAAAGGGAATCAACACAGTAAAGGAGGAGACTATATTTAAAAGAAGAAAAACTACCACAACAAGAGGACATAGTCTTAAATTAGAGGGACAAAGGTTTAAAAATAATATCAGGAAGTATTACTTTACTGAGAGGGTAGTGGATGCATGGAATAGCCTTCCAGCTGAAGTGGTAGAGGTTAACACAGTAAAGGAGTTTAAGCATGCGTGGGATAGGCATAAGGCTATCCTAACTATAAGATAAGACTAGGGACTAATGAAAGTATTTAGAAAATTGGGCAGACTAGATGGGCCGAATGGTTCTTATCTGCCGTCACATTCTATGTTTCTATGTTTCTATGACAAACAATTCTAACCGTTGGTGACATCACAGCCAACATATATTAGAGATTCATCTTAGTGAAGATTGAGTGGGGAACAAATTTCATCTTGGTTACCTATGACGTCACCAATTTATATACTATCATAACACATGAGGCTGTGAGGCGGTTAAACAATTTTTAGAAGACAAAAACCTTTCACCAGCACAAATAAATTTCATCGTGAAAAGCATTAATCTAATTTTGCGTAACAACTACTTCTGGTTTGATTGACTTTTTTTCTACAATTAGTGGGGAATGAGATGGGAACCAATAGGATAATAGGTTTTAAAGACAAAAACATTTTTCAAGAAAGTCAGTGTTAATAGTTAAATTGATTTGGCTAGCTGCCACTACCCACTGCGGCTAAAAAATATCCCAAAGGGGCAATATGTCAGAATGCTACATAATTGTAGTGACATGCAACAATATAATACTCCAGCTAATATTTTAACAACTTTCTTTAAAGAGAAAAACTATGATGTTGATAATCTGGAAAAACAAAAATTAGAAGTACAGAGATTAAATACAAATTAAGAATGTTTAACCTATAAAAAAGTTGAACAAAAAAAATCTAAATTTAGAGATCACAAAAACAGGTATCCCCATCTTTTGAGCTACAATATGGATGTAAGAAATATTAAGCAGATCCTTAACAAATACTGGTATATGTTTAAGACTGATAAGGATCTTAATAATATAGTTGGTGATAAACCCAATATCACTTAGAGAGGTGCAAAAAATGTAAAAAATAAACTATTAGAAAGTTTTATAAAAGATCGATAGAAAATATGTTCAATTTTCCAAAAGGATTCTATCCCTGTAAAACTTGTATGGCATGTAAAATAACTAACAGAGTGTATTGGCATATTTTTGTGAAAAATATAATGTGTACCTGTTTTAGTTTTATGGCAATCTTTAAGAAAATGTCTAATTGGCGGGGGGAAGACAATTTTAGGGAACTCAGCAAGGTGGAAAGTAAGTGGATTTATGAATAAGATACCTTAAGCCCAAATGGTTTAAATTTTGATTTTTAATTAGCTTACTTTATGTAGTTTTTATTTAAATTTCTTAAAAGCAAAACTAAAGGGGGAGGGAGGAGAGAAAAGAAGAACAAAAGGAGACGCAAATACTCTTTAAATTTTAGAAATTAAAAAAAAATGATCTTTTCCCTTTTTCTGATCATCTTTCCACCTTGCTGGGTAACAAACATGCTATTTTGGTTTTATTTCTTTAAATGCTGTTTGATTTATACTTATTGTCAAATATTTTTCTATGTAAACCTAATAATCCAACATATGTATCTTTATTTTTATTTCTATTTGTAGGGCCACCAATTTTATTTGTATATTTTACTCGTAAGATATAAATGCTCTACTGTGAAAATTTGGAGTATTTATATAACCTTAATGTTTTCTAATATAAGTGTGGGAGCTTGAGGGCAGTTTTCCCTTATCTATTATGGACCTACAGACTTCCCGGTGTACGCAGAAAGGCAAACAGGAAGTGACACCACTAAAGCACCGGCAGTGACGTCCATTATATGCGACCCGAAGTGATGTGACGTCTCCCGAGCGCAACCTGGAAGTGGGACAGCGCATGAACAGGAGAAAGCATTTGACCAATCTGGAGGGGCATGTAAAGGGACGTCTGCACCTCATGAACCAGGCACTGAAGAAGACTGTGGACCATTCGAAATGTGTTTGCTGCTTTTATTAAGGACTTGTATTGGTAGCGTTAGTGTATATTGTTGCTCTTTTGCACACTGCTTTTATTAGTCCTATCTTGTATATTTTAATATATATTTTTTATAGTTAACCTAGCTCTGGGGATATTGGGCAATATGTCAGTTTAGACGACCTTCCCCTTTTTTCATTAGAAGAGTAGTTAGAGTTAAAGTGAGTAAAGTTTATTGACGTGACGTCGTGCATAACCGGAAGTGACCTATCCAAAATCAAAAGGAAAAAAACTAGGAACAAGGCTTGAACTGCAATATGAACGCACCTGAAGGGAGTCACGGACTTGAGACTTGATGGTTTATTGCACCAGATTGAGGAAGTCATCTCGTCGAAACATGCCTCTGGGACTACATATTTAGTTTTATAATACTTTTACTTACTACGTTTTTAATGAAGTGTATACTTTTTTTTTTACTAAGATGTATACCTTTATTTCACCTACTATCAAGTTTTCTGCATTCTGAAAGAGGATGCTATGTGTCAGCATTACTGATTGATCTAGCACGTAGAATTGTATCACACCTAGGACTAAAAGGTAACGTCTTACTGGGCCTTAGAATGGCCAGGCTTAACGTACCAAAGAATAGTCAGGATTAGAGTTGAGCGGACACCTGGATGTTCGGGTCTGGCGGGTTCAGCCGAACTTTGAAAAAAAGTCTGGGTTCGGGCTTGAACTTGACCCCGAACTTAACCCCGAACCGAACCCCATTGAAGTCAATGGGGACCCAAACATTTGGCCACAAAAATGCCTCTAAAAAACTCCTGGAAATGGCTAGAGAGCTGCAAAAGGAAGTACAATGGGGGTAAGAGTAGGACAAGTGCCCTGCAAACAAATGTGGATTGGGAAATCACTTAAAATAACATAAAATACCTAAACATTAAAAATACAGCTGAGACATAAAATAGCACTAGATTTAATCTTTAATTTTAGTTTTGGAAGAACATAAATCAAAATCTAAAGCATGGCTGTCAGGAGGATCAACAGAATTATCCATTTGAGAGAGGGTTGGAGTGCAGGGTATTCTCTTTCATTGTTCAAACTGAGCTCAACTCCTGATGCATGGAGAAAAGGCCTTCACAAGCCTCTGCTATTGTGTACATAGTTTATACTAAGTGACCCATAGGTTGAGGAGGCAGTGACCGTGGCGGTGTAGGTGGAAGCGGCGGTGGAGGAGGAGAAGGTAGCCAACACTGTTTATATATACATATATATATTTTTTATTTTTTTTAATTGGGGTAGCCCCCAAAATATTGGGACAAATAAAAAAAGAAAACTGTTCCACAGAGCGACTGACCCGTGCGTGCTGCATCTGAAACTCCACTATCGCCTGCTGCTGCTCTCACAGTCTCATGAGGCGGTGAGCAGGAAGGCTGAAGTTATGATTCAGCGCAGACAGGTGAACAGCAGCAGGGTGAGAACGCCAAAAGCGCGCACAGACGGGCCACACTTTCTGCAGCAGCTTTGATATATCTGGGTATAAACAGTGACATCACAAGGGCCACCCAGAACTGGCTCAACTCCCATCAAGCCAAGTTCCAGGAGGAGATTACCCAGCTCGTCATGCTAGAGCACTTTTTCAATGTGCTCCCCAACGAGAAGGCGCCGACGCATTCGTATGTCAATCCATATCAACTTTCGATGCCATTGACTGCACCTACCAAGGTGACCACGTGTAACAGGGAATCAGGGTTCCATTCCATACAGGGACTCTGACAAACGGCTACCATATGCATGGAAGGCAGCATGTGCGCAAATGACCCACTCCCGACGCTGGAAGGTAGTGACGACAAATAACAATACAGGACTCTTTAGAGGCCCTGTAATTGTAATGAGTCCACTTAAAATCCTTTAACTCTGATCAATTGGAGGGAAGTCTGGTGCAGAGCCACTGACCCGTGCATGCTGCAGCTGAAACTCCACTATCACATGCTGGTGCTCAAACAGTCTCTCCAGCATGTGCAAGGTGGAGTTCCACCTTGTGGGCACGTCGCATATGAGGCAGTGAGTGGGAAGACCAAAGTTACGCTGCAGCTCAGACAGGCGAGCAGCAGCAGGGTGAGAACACAGAAAGAGCGACAAAGCCACTACAGTGAATGTCACACCCTGTTCCAAGTTGCGGATCAGTCTGGTGATTGCTTCTTGTACTCTTTCTACTGAAGCTGCATCAGGGTCCTGGTATGTGGCTGCACAAGCGCTGGTGCTCAACACCAGGGGGCGTGCGGTTACCCTGCACCAGACCCTGCTAATCCATTCCACACTGTGACTCCTAACTTCTACATCAGGCATACTGGGTCCCGGTCGTCCGACCATCGCTCAGACAGTGTCTGGGTCCCGGTCACCGGACTGTGAAACTGCGAATGGCTCGTTAAATCTGTTATGGTTCTTTTTATCGCTTCAGCTGTTACTTGGATAACTGTGGGAATTCTAAAGATAATACATGCTGACAAGCACTATGGGACGGCCACTCCGCTTTTGCACCCTGCTCCCTCTTATGCTGTGCTGGTGCCTCTGTGCGACCAGTGCCTCTTCCTCCAAACTGCACACGTCACTCGCATGACCTTGATTCCATGTGGGGTCTAGGACCTCATCATCCTCCACATCATCTTCCACCCACTCCTCAACCCTGCCCTCCTTGCCGGTATGCACACTGCAGAAAGCCACAGCAGTGGGCACCTGTGTTTTTCCAGCATGTAAAGTCTGCAATTGTAGAATTGTATCCAGGCAACAGTTTTCCCTATAAACTGACCTCTCAGTTTGACTTGTGAGGGTATTGCCCCAGAATTACAATATTGTTGAAGTACCTCTTAGCTATTGAAAACTGGTTTAAATAAAGCAGCTTGTTATCTGGTAGTTTCTAGTGTAGAAAATATCCATCTGTTTTCTATCACTTAGATCTGTGTAACAAGTGTTGTAGGTGTGAAACAATATTACAAGTGACCGATGTAGTAAATTCGAATCAAAGTTCTTTTTTTTTTTTGCAAAAAAAATTCCCGCCCATCTTCTGTGGGTTATTGCATTTTTAAGATGTAGACTTATTGTATCACACTAGCCATGCACAGGTAGATTGTCTGGCACGTTGTTTTGGTGTTTGTTTTTTAACTTTGTAGTTGTGTCTTTACACAATATAGAAATGTATATTAATGCTTCTGTATATGAAGCGATCACACTAACACTTATTTTTCCCTTAAAAAAAAAAAATCAGGCTAAACCAAAATTGGTAATTAACAATATGACATCTAAAAAGCACATGAAAGGATGCTGTATGATTTTACAAAAAAGAACACACTACATAAAGGTCCTGTTCACTAGAATGTGTAGTCATGAATGTAACCAGTAAAACTTTGTTTTTACAGCCACTGGTTGGCTGATACATATTTTAAAACTTGCTTAATTTTGTTGTAGCATGACTTGTAGATATGAAGTGCACGCCCCAAAATGTACTATTTAGCAGATTAGCAGCAAAATAATTAGAATGCTTACCACTGCGCTGTAAGCACACTATTAGACGTTTCGATTTGACTCTCAGATATGAAGTGCACCCCACTAAAATACTACTTAGCAGTTTAGCACCCAAAACATTTTAAGTTTTAAAACTGCAATGTGACAGCAGTATTTGACGCTTTCTATTTGACTCTCAGATATGAAGTGCACCCCACTAATGTACTTTTTAGCACCCAAAACCTTTTACGTTTTAAAACTCCGATGTAACCGCGGTATTTGAAGCTTCTATTTGACTCTCAGATATGAAGTGCACCCCACTAATGTACTTTTTAGCACCCAAAACCTTTTATGTTTTAAAACTCCGATGTAACCGCGGTATTTGAAGCTTCTATTTGACTCTCAGATATGAAGTGCATCTCACTAATGTACGAGTTTGCAGAATTCTTTCCTAAGCTATCCCTCACAGCTGCAGCATCCTCTCCCTACACTAATAAGAGCTCATGTGCATGCGGTGCTACGTGACTCCAGCTTATATATAGAGACTGGATCACATGCTGCACTGGCCAATCACAGCCAAGCCATTAGTAGGCATGGCTGTGATGGTTTCTAAGGGCACACGAGTCAAAAGCTTGTTGATTGGCTGCCCTGCAGCCTTTCAAAACGCGCCATTAAATCACTGAACACCGAACTTCAACCCGAACATAAAGTGATATATCCGTGTTCGGCTCTGGAGTCCAAAAAAATGTTCGGTACGAACCCAAACTTTACAGTCCGGGTTCGCTCAACTCTAGTTAGGATACTTGCCGAGGTCAGGGACACAGAATGGGACGCAACGATAAGGGAAAGCCAAAAGTCAGGGATACCAGAATACAGCGAAGTCAAAACAAAGCCAAAGTCAGTAATAAATGCTCAGGAACACACTCTCGGACAACAACTAAGGGAAACCACGATAGAGCAAATCTGATTGGCCGAAAATCGGCCTTTGACCCCAGAACATGCACGCGCGTCTTCTGCGGGATGTCACACGCACACCAATGTCGTCTTCAACGAGGGCGGACATGGGGATATGATTTGGAGTGGATCCGCAGCATCCAGCGTCCATTAACATGTTGCAGGAGTCAGTGATACAGACGCACGGCTGCTATGCGCGAATACCTCAAGGTGAGAAGGAATATGTTACAGTATGGTCTCTGTAGCAAATGCTCCTTCCCACGAACATTTGCCATGAACTCCAGGAGGAGTGTGGAAGCTGGCCTTCTGCCCACTGACTATAATCCAGGTCCGAGACACCACTCAGGAGTTACCCTGCCAAGCCACCATTAGCAGCTTTCCCTGGGTGCCCCTCGTTTGACACATTCTCTTCAGCAGTACTTAGCTGCGACCGCAATGGAACTAATTTCAGCATGAGGACTTTGTGGGTCCCCGGTCACCCCAACTGTACTTAGCCATGAATGTTATGGAACTGTTTTCGGCATGAGGTGACGGTGCGGTTCCCGGATAACTTGGTCCTTGGTTTTGAACCATTATTTGGAGGGAAGGTGTCTGAGATTAAGGGGAACAAACGCTGCCTGAGAGCAAAGTGGAGCTCCCCGAAAGCTGACCCACAAAAGCACCAAACGCCCTGTAACTATTTTGGGCATAGGATCACACGTGCGGCTGGTCAGAACTTTAACACAGTGGCATTTCCCCTACACTGCATGGATCCAAGCAAGGTTAAAGCTCTAGAACATGTAAGTTCCCAATTATTTTGAATAGTACATTTGTGTATGCAAGGGTACTACACTATTTTTTGTTGTTTAATTATTTTAAAGGTTATACATCACTGGACTGTTTTGAGAGGAAAAAAGTGAATGGTATAAAAAAAGGTTTTTCTGTTTTCACTAGGTGTATTATTTGTCTATTATCACAATTTAAGCACTCCACTGTATTTGGTAAAAATGTTAAAGAAATGAAGCTATCCAGAAATGATTTGACACTTTAATCCCTAATGGTTCAAAAAAAATTTTTAAATGTGGAACTTATTAAATTGAATCCATTTTTCCTCTCTCTTATCAGATATTTTGTACTTATATAAAATTATTTTAGCCTGAATATTTATTCACACAATATTTTAAGATTCTTTGAATTTAATTTGCCACTATGTGTATTTTACATTTTTTTCATTGTAAAAACATGCCGTAATATTGTGCATGTATTTTATAAGCCAATTATTTTCTACATAGATAACTACATATAATACACTTGCTGTTTTACCTGTGTCTTTTACAAATTGTGATTATATTTATTGAATTTTATGGATGCTTATATTTGTATTCCTTATTTGAATGGTCAAGAATTACAAATGGTGCCTATTTGCATATCAACCACTTCACTACTAGAATTGAGTATAAACATTTTTTATATTCATGTGTTTTGTAGTATGAAATTAAGTCATCACTTACCTCATTTATACACTAGGATTGATTACCAGCTTGTAGAGGAACACATTTCTCTGACAGAAGCCACTAATTACTGATGCAATACCTGCAAGTATGCAGAATATGTCTGCTCACTCCCTGATTCCAAGCAGTAAATTTCTACTTTTTGGGAAGGGTGCAGTGATTGTACTCCACCATTTCACTGTTAGCATTATATTAGCATTTCAGAGATTGATAGACTATGATATAAGAGCTTTAAATACCTTTATTTTATTAATATAGGTTTTTAGCCATCTATACTGTATGTAGCCATTGTGCTCAAATGCAGATATTCCTTTGACCTTCTGTTGCCAGCAAGTTTCCTCTGCATGAGAGATACAGCATCCCCAGATGTTTGTTTCAGCCTTCCTTTGGGCCTCATCATCGAGGTGTAGCTGATACCCCTCTAGGCACAGTGAGCAGGGAGTCCATATCTGGATTACCACGTTAATGCATTAAAGGGACACTATAGTCACCCAGACCACTTCACCTCAATGAAGTGGTCTGGGTGCCAGGTCCCCCAGGTTTTAACCCTTCTGATGTAAACATAGCAGTTTCATAGAAACTGCTATGTTTACATTGCAGGGTTAATCCAGCCTCTAGTGGCTGTCTTCCTGACAGCCGCTAGAGGCGCTTCTGTGACGCATCCATAGCAAAGCATTAAGAAATGCATTCCTATGGATTGTTTGAATGTGCGCGCAGCTCTTGCCGCGCATGCTCATTTCACTCCACTCGGGAGCTGAGGTCGGCGGGGGAGGAGAGGTCACCAGTGCCGAGGGAGCCTGGCACTGGATAAAGGTAAGTGGCCCCTTCAGTCCAGCAGGAGGGGGACCCTGAGAGTGGTGGGGACCTAAGGTTTATATAGAGTCAGGAAAACGAGTTTGATTT